ATTAGAGTTACTCAGTCCTGTATAAACTCTGGTTCATTTTTGATGCAAACCACTATTTGCAACAATTGCATTTTGCAAAGTAGCTCAACTCTGAATCAAAAGCTACAGATTTTGTGTTAAATGTACATGTAGACCTCGAGCAGATCATTTTTATACTTTATTCGATCTAAACCATTCCATTTCATGTTAAGGTCTTTGTCCTGCTGGAAGGTGGACCTCTGTCCCCAGTCTTACTAGTTCTTCTGCAGCTTTAGACAGATTCTCCTTCCTGAATTAGCTTCATTCCCAATCAGATTTCCATTTGTTGTTAGGTCTGCAGTTGGTCTATTTTCTCACACTGCTCTGTGAGATGCTCAAAGTGGGCTGGTGATATTGTTTTAGCAGCTAATGCTGCTTTAAACCTCCACAAGTTTCCCACTGACATCTCTGCTGGGTTGCAAGGTCTTCATAATCTAAAGGAAAAAACAGAAAAACATGAAAATAGGTGTTTTTAGACTACTAAAAAGGATGCATGAGAAAACTATTGTTAATGAGTGTGGTGGTTGTGTCAATACCTTGAAAACTGTATGGGACTTAAAAGCTTTGTCATACTGTGAGATTGAATTTCCCCCCATATGTTTTGATAAAGTAAGTTTCCTACTCTTCAATAATCTGTTTAAGAATTTAAGTTTTTATATAAAACTTCTCTTAGGTGGAACTTTTCCCAATCGATGACGTCTTCCTGGGAATGTGCCTCCAGCTGATTGGCATCAGCCCTCTTCGTCATCAGGGATTTCGCACCTTTGGGATTCCCCGGCCGTCTGCGGCGCCCCACCTTCAAACGTTCGACCCCTGTTTTTACAGAGAGCTCATGGTCGTTCACAGCCTCAGTGTCCCACAGATCTGGCTGATGTGGAACCTCCTGCACGACCCCGACCTGAGCTGCCACAACAGAACTGGACTGACATCTGGACCCTTTAAATGGAGAGGGAGAATCAGAGAGATGACAGGAGATGAGGCGGATTACGGTGAGAAGCCGGAGTTTATCACGCACTAGAGCCTGTCAGGAAGCAGAGGTGGAGCCGCAGGTATCACGCAGCATTTGAGGACTGAATAACAATCCTGTGAGAATTTTTTCAGCCAAGATGATACATCATCCGGCAGGAAATTAAATGGACTGGGGGAATTTTTCCCAGCTGACTTTATACAGAAACTGAAGGCATTCGGACAATAACCTTGCGGACCAAATATTTTGCACTACATTTATCTACGAAGAAATAGAAGGAGTTTATTTTGCATATAAGTTTACAAAATCCTTTTTTTTGCATTAAATTTGTAAAGCTGCTGTCACATCTATTTTTCTAGGTATGGGGGTGTAATCTAAAAATGCATTATGCAATTGATGGACATTTGATAATGCATTGCATCCTCTGATGCATGTGAACAAGTGTTTTGCTCATGATTTACAGGCTGCATTTAATTTTTTTCTGCATCATCATTGCCATTTTTCCTTATGCATGAACTAAGGCCTTCAATGTCCACAGTGGGTCAAGTTAAAGATCACCAAGGACAGCAAAAAAACAAGCTACTGCTCTTAAATCCATATCTCAAGCTGGACTAAAAACTGCAACTATCCACATGCAAAAAACAAATACTCAATTTGAAATGGTCGAGCAACACTACATTAGCAGCATCAGAATGCAGATCGGAGTAGGAAGAATAAAAATGGGTGACCGCCACTAAATCTGACACAATTGGAATAACTAATAAAATCCAAACTGATTGTTGAATGGAGAAAACACATCAACATTAAACTGCTGGAATATTCATCTGTAAAAATAATAAAGTTTTATCGGTGCAACAACTAGAGATTCAATGCAGTCTTAAAAAACACAAACTGATTCACAGTCAAACCATTTCACAGTCACATTTTATTTTTCTGTTTTCATATTCTTGTACAACACAGAAAATAAACTCTGTTGTCAGCAAATATTGAGCATCTGATTTCATAAAGGTCCATTATCTTTGTTGAAAATTCAACAACTACCAATGGAGTTCTGCTGCAGCGAAGCTTCAGTCTCATGCATCTCTTTGCACTACATGTTTTTTATTGCCATCTCAGTCATGGGACATGCTGGATGAATCTGCTTGTTATTTCATTCACAAAGTTATTCAAAATATGCATATCAAACAAGCTACATTCCTAAGAATTTCGCATCAGCCGTAATTACCCGCTCTGCTTCCAGAAAATTAAAATATAAAAGGATAACAATTATCAATGGGGTAGGGACATTGGAGTAGAAACAACAAATATGTTAATACAAACTAAGGGAGAACACAATCCAAGCAGGTTTGGGGGAGATTAACCATTTAATCTCAATATCCTCTGTGTCTCAGATTCCATGCTGTAGAAAGCAGCCTCATTTTTTTTTTTTTTTTTTGAAGCCTCAAGGTGTCATAATTTGTGTTGGGATTTTTTATGTTTATACAAGGTAGGAAAGTTTGAGGTTACAGGTAAGAGTGTTCAAAAGGATTCATGAGGTGTTGACCAGAAAAGGAGCAGGGCTGATTTCCCATTGGGAATATACCAAATTAATCAGTAGCTGTGATGAACACTCTTACCATTTCCAAAGATAAGCAGGTAACATTTGTGGGGAAAAAATTAGGGAAGATGAAGGAAGATTTCCCCCAAAAGTAGCTTCTTCCTGAAGAAAACATAGTTTATGAAACTTAATTTTAGTTTAAAGAGAAGGAAAACCCCAAGGCTGAGGAACAAGCAGGGAAAATTATGGTGGTATGATGAGAGATTACTGCTGCAAACCTTGGAGATAGCTTTCCAAGCCCACTGTGAAAGTTGTTCTAATGAATGTCCTCTCGTGGCAACTTAGTTTTGACCCTGTTGGTGAAATAACCTGCTGATAATTGGACTAATATGTCTGAGCAAAATGAATGACAGAGTGCATAACAGTATTTTTTAACTTTGTTCATTTTAGCATATTAGTACTGGCTAAATGTGACCCTTTCAAGGGGAAACATCAACATTGCTCTCACATGTTAAATACAGATTTTTTTTCATTGTGACTATTCTGTTCTATACAGCAACTGCTGTTTGTATGATGGTGCAGCTGCTTGGAGAAATACGACTTCTGGTTGCATTTAAACAGTAATGCTAATTAGAAATGAGTTAGAAAATGTGTCCATCTAAATACCTCAAGATTATTTTTTATTCCAGGGGCCGTTGTTTTACGCACTGATGCCCAAGTCATTATCTAACTGCTACACAGTAAATCTCACTGATTCAGCATGAAGATTTTAAAGCGTTGACTCAGTCTTTTCCATTTCAGTTAAAAGCTGTTTGTTTCTACAGACCATTAACATCTGCTGCCTGAACAACAACAACAAAAAAATCCCCAACACAAATAGCGAACCTAGTGGCTAAAGTAGGGTATTACATAAATTGTCTCCTACAAAAGCTTCCCCAAAGAAACGAACACCTGAAGCGGTGGACTCCTACATCTATCTTTTTTTAATCTGTTTTACACTTTCTTTATGCCGCCAAACTGTAATGAATAAATAACCATAAAACACTGAAGTCAATGAAAGTCTTGATTATGAATTTACGGAAAAAAAAAACTTTAGAAATTAAGTTTAATGTAATAAAACATTAAACTTAATGTTTTGCCTTCTTCCTTTGCTTTATAAAAGGAAGAAAGCAAAACAGCCTAATTTTAATCCTTCTTAAAAAGATCTTGCACAGGTATATTACATCAGGTGCATGACTAGAATATGACCCAGCATTTTTTAAAGGTGGTTTATACTGTTTTAACATGAGATATTTCGATAAATGCACTAGGAAGGAAAGAACTTGGTAGGATTTGGCCACAGAACCACCAGAAATTCTACCGGATAACAGGGAGTGTTTGAGAACAATGGGAGAGCATTTAAGCTAAAGCAGAACTCAACCATGCAACCCTAATGGTCCAAACCAAAGGTCCTCAACCCTGATTCAATCATTCCTTTAAATATGTCAGGTGTTTGGCAGCAAGGAGATGCATAAACCACACAGCGCAGTGGTACTTCAGAACCAAACAATGCGAGTAAAACTACCAGTGTCCAACTGAGAGTGAAAGTGCAGATTTCGTTGAGAGAAGAAGGTTCCTCAGACAGCTGAGATGGTAGACAGATACACGAAGTACTGAACTACAATTTAATCTAAATGGGAAAACACAAGATATTAGTGGGTGGGGTGTTTTTCCTCAGCTAGAAAAGGTGTTTTAATAAATAAAACAAGGTTATATTTTGGTGGTTTTGCAATTAAAATGAATCATGAATGTTAATTAATTAATAACCAAATATTTGGTTCTTCTAAATATTTGATTTTTGCTGCAAATTCTCTAGGAATAAAATAAAAAAGAACAGAACCTGAAATTATGACATGGAGGCTGCCTTCCTGTCCGTTTTAGAATCTGTATTTTTTTCTTTTATTATTGTTTTTTTTTAATCAAACTAAAATTTACCCCTAGGTTTCAACAAACGATTATAAATGCATATGCTAAATAAAAACAAAGAAAATAAACCCATTAAAAAAAGATCAACAAGCTAGGACTATTTGCAGATAGGAGAAAACCAACAAAACAAAACAGACATCAGGTGCTGCAGCAGGTTGGTAATGCTCAATAAAAAGACACACAAAACAATGCAATTAAAAAGCATTCCCCCACTGTATGTACCACAGATAACTATTTTACAGAGGCAAAAAGTCACCCAAGTCAAAGACGGGCTCAGTGGGAGGTGAGGCACAATGTTTGTTTTTTTTTTCTTTGACTTAAAATACATTTTCTTCCACTGAAGCAAGTAGTGGGAACAATAAGCAGAACATTGTTGACAGCTTCGAACAGTATGCGAAAAATCAGAGCAACCTTAAATTCTGGGAAGCTTAGGAACCCCAGGAGATATGTTAGAAACATTTAGCTTTTCAGAACAAAAAGAGTTTATCAAGGCTGACGAAAACAGAGAACCTGAACTTCCGAGCTCATCCCTTCATCCAGATGAAGGCTGAGCCACAGGGGGAAAGAATCTAACTGTCCAGCAGAGCATTGAAGTGTAAATTAAGAGTTTATGTGCTTCTTAAAAACATCCCTCTATTGTCCACAAAGATCAATGCTGACTGGTTTGGATTTTCTGAAATCACCCCGGAATAATTACAGAATCAACATAAACTCTGTTTTTGAACTTTCTTCACAATATAGAGGCAAAGAATCCAAGCCATAATAAAGAGGATACCATGAAGAGCTATTTACAGCATTTATACATCAGTATCAGCTTCCCCTGGAAAAAACAAAAAAAAAAATCAACAAAATGACTAAACCTGATGTTCTCTGTACTTAAAACACTTTCCTGCTACTTGAAACAAAACCTATCGGTTCATTCAGTGCTGATGAGAAGCATGCATCCCTTAGAGGTCTTAGATCATAGAAGTATTGAATGGAAAACAAAAAACATTTAATTAGTTTGTTCAGTGTCATTTTAAAAACACCTTCAGACCACTTGATCTTTTTTTCCTAATGTTGTCACAGTAAAACCACAACATTCTAGCATTTTAGACTGGATTTGACGGGAGAAAAACGTAAGGATAACGGAAAAGTGGAAAACGGAAGGGGAATTTTTAAAAGTTAATTTTCAATAAAAAACAAAAACAAATTTGCATTCAGCCCCATCAAAAAAAGCCCAGAGTAATCAAAAATACATTTCGAAGGTTACAAAATGAACAAGTAACATCTTCTAACAAGAAACCAGGTAGAGACAAAAAAAAGACATGGAGATATTACTCTGGGGGAGCTGCAGAGAGCTACAGCTCAGGTAGACGAATCTGCACTGGAAATATCTGCTAACCGTGGAAGAGTTAAAAGCTCGTTGAAGAAATTAAGTCTGTAAGAATGTGCTACCTGCAAAAAGAAAATGTAGAAGTACGTGTAGAAGAATGTTAGGTCTACAGTTGTAACAAAATGTAAAAAGTCTAAGGGGTTGTGGATTCTTTAAAGGCAGTTTTGACCCAAACATTTAGCAAAACTGCAAAAACAAAAACTTTTGTTATCAAGAACAATGACAGAGTTTGTCTATTAAAATAAATGCAGTTTATTAGTTGGTTTGTAATTAAAAACAATGTAAATGTACACGATGGGGAGGGAGTTGACAAAGATATGACTGATGCTTTCCTACCTTCCCAAGAAAAAAACAAAGCGGGGTGTACGACCACAGACAGAACAGCTGCTCACTAAGTCACAGTTCACTGAGGACGTTCACCACAGTATGAGCTGACATTAAATATGATGTGTCTCATCAGAAACAGATTAGCAGAACGGCGGCTGCTCGTGTTCAACAATCACTGTCAGCACCGACAGGGACGTGAACCTAAAAGCTATACCACAACATCTTCAAAAAGGATGGAATTAGTCATATTTGAGACTGCAGGCAATCTTAAACGAGAAAATATACAGAGCAAATGAAAACATCCTAAAAGGTCTTTGGCTTTAGCATTTGGCAACTAACAAAAGAGATAAATGCAGAGAGAACAGATGGATAAAATGAAACTCAATAAGATGCGAGAAAGAGGAAAGAAAGCACTGAAGAAAACGTAACAAACCATGACTCCTCTGCTGCAGAGCATGGAGGTAACACACAGTCATCCACTCACTCAACATCATCCCTCTCTTCAATACATATCCATCTCAAAGGATGGGGCACGATCAAGTAAAAACCTGTGTATTAGTGCAAAATGTTTAAAAAAAAAAGAATCACAATAAATTATTACACAATGAAAACGGTTTTCATGGTGATGAAAAATCGGACTATTTCGCCCAGAGAGAACATGCAGGTAGATTTTTTTGAAATCGCCCAAACAAAGCAAGAGCACTTCTTGTTGTGCTTTTTGTAGGTTGCTTCTCGG